AGGGTCGTCACCGCCCTCGAGAGAAAGTGGTTAGTGGGAGGAAAGTTGCAGCATACGTGAGGAAAACTAACTTTCCCTTGTTAAGCCGTGGTAGACAATTGACTTTAGAAATTCTTCGGAACAGACGTTTGTTTGGGTTAAAGGACCTCTACTAGGAAATTCCTGAGATTTATGGAAGATACTGAGGCTATTGAGGGTATGCCGTACGGAAGAGCGGACATCTGGTGTCCGTCTGGCCCGCGGTGTGTGACCTGGGCCAGGCAGAGGGTCGCCCGGCGTAACAAGAGGTATGGAGTAGTTCTATAGCTCTCTTTAAAAAGAAATAGTTGTAGCGGCACTCGACAGTAAACATTCCAACGGCTTCTGTCTCGTGGCTCGCCATATACAGACTCTATTCTTCGGGTAAGATGATTACCAGATGTCGATGTATCTCCACAGTACATGTTCAGATAGCCTGAGGAGCTGCTATAAATCTTAGGATTTTGTTAACTGAGGTCCTTCAAAGGGACAAACAGTCTGTATCCTAACAGTCCCCAAATCTACCACCTACTGCGGGAAAATACGGGGAATCTGCTTATCTCACGAAGGGCGCTTCCCGTTAGCCACTTTCTCTCAAGGGCGATTAGCATACTTCTTCAACCACCAACATAGAAATTAACCAGCAAACAGGAACGTCCATTTTCCTCACTTTCCAAACGAAGGCTTTCCTCGACGAATCTGATGATCTCGTGTCTTTAGACACACCCCATCATAGTTTTCCTCTGCAGCGTCACCGTGGCGGAGAGACACTCTCTCGCGTAAGATCTCATCAACGAGTTAAGTAACGTCTTTACGATCCGTGAATAGTTCACGTTTTAACAAACAGCTAGTTTAGTAATACTTGTACCGCAGACAAGGAAGTTGGGTACAACTTGGACTTTGAAAGAAAGCGCATTTTGTTATCCCGTTGACCGCGGATTCGTTATCGAACCTAAGACCATTGTCATTAGCATCTCGAGTAACTAATTACAACGGTTACTTGTCAAATTCTGTAATAATCATATTTGCACTACTCAGTATCTTCTCTATTGCAGAACAACAATGTCTAATCCAAATAAAGATTCGTTTCACGCCCCTAATCCTAATCATAATGCAAACTCGACAAATAAATATATTAAGTTTTGGTAGGGGAGGATTTACCTTGATGCTAATGATAATATAATTGTTAGGCTCCGGAACAGTATGGGGACCACAAATGTGGTTGTCAATACATTTGTTAATATACATTGTTCTGGAAGATTTTTGCGTTTTCTAGCATGTGTGCAAAAATTAAATCCTCAAGTGAAACTTATTTTCCATTGGAGTCTTAAAAACAGTTTTGAAGAAGCTATCGAATTATGCGGATCTCAATTACTACACATGAAGTTAGTAATCATCGTCTAAGTGAATATTATACTCTGAAATCTTCCACTGATTGCATACATAAGTTTTCAA